CGCCACGCACCCATCGCGCGACCGTGGCGTGTCCGGGCACCGTCGCCCGAGGGGCCGCTGCAGGACGCCTGGCCCGGTGACCTCAGCCCGGAGGCCGCGGCCTCGCGGCGCCCAAACGGAGACGGCCCCACGGTCCGGCGCGCCGGACACGCCCGCCCTTCGGCCGGCGAGGAAACTGCGACCCGACCCCACCCCCATCTCCCGCGGCCGCCGTCGCCCCTCGAGCCTCCGCGCGCGGGGCCGTGCGCCCCAGCGGGGTTGGCCGCCACCGGCGCCCCCTCGGCCGCCTGCCTCCGCTGCGGGGGTGAGGACGGCGGGACCGGGACGTGTCCGGTATCCAGCCCCTTCCGTCCAGCCCTTGCCCCGGAAAGTCCCCGCCCGGGGAAACCCCCCAGCCCAGCCCCGCCGAGGCCGAGGAGGTGAGGGCGAGCCCAGAGCAAGCCCAGGGCGCCGCAGGCCAGGCCTCGAGGCCCCGCTGTCCCCTGGAGGACCAGGCGCCCCATGCCCCAGGCTCCGATTTATTCAACAGCTACTAAGTCCTGGCCAGCGCTGAGGAGCCGCCGGACACCGGGCTCGGGATGGCTGGCAAGGCCTGGACACAGCATTCACCGCCCCTAGCCCCTCGGTTTTGGGGGCAGCCTCCCAGTCCCCAAACTCCTCCCCAGCAGGGTCTATCCCACCGTTGCCCACTCTCCCGAGCTCCCTAGCGAGCTCAGTCCCTCCTCCTGGTGTGGATCCTGCCCGCTGGTCAGTGGTGACTGCCCCCCTCGTGCAGGGCACAGCACTGGGCAGGGGCAGCATCTCCCCTCCTGGACGCACAGACCTGCAGGGGCCAAGTGCATTGAGATTCACTACAGCGCGCCTTGGACTGATGCTGGGTTCCCAGGCGGTCAGGGTGCATGGGGTCCACCCCAGGGGGTAGGAGGATAGAAGAAGGGCCAGGCTTGGAGCAGTTTCCCTGCAGCGGGAACTGGACCTGCCTCCTCTGACGAGGGTCTTAGAAGCGCCTGTATTTGCCCCTGAGCTGCCTTTAAACCACTTTAAACCACCGGAAATATGGAAAGCTGGGAGTACCCAGAATGGGGTGGGGAAGAGTCACCCAAGACCAACTAGCTCACTTTCTCTTTTGGGGCTTGGCTTATACACCAGGAAGCTATGCTGGGCCCCTGGGAAAGGGAAGCCGCCACCTTCTGGGCCAGGCTTCTGCCCACTCTATTCATCAAGAGGTGACAAGCCTTCCTAGTCCCCATGAGATACGACCTCCTTGTAGGTAATCTTAAGGTAGGACTTCGGAATGAATGCTGGGGGAAAGAGGGGGGCGGGAACTGTCTAAGGATGTGCTTTATTTTGGACTCCTCTAACTTGGCCCACTTGCATGGTCAAAATTTGCATTATGGTATGCTAGTAACATGACTAGCAACCCAACAGACCCTTCCGGTTTATTCTTTGCTTTCAGGCTCCCCGACCCCCAACAATGAGAAAACATGTAGAAAACATGTATTATACTAAAATGTCCACATACTACTATTTTTTTTTTTTTTTTTAAGGAACCTACTTTGCTGCTGCCACCATTTGATTTGTTTCTCTGGGACGAATCGCAGCACAATACTTCTTGGTGTGATTTCAAATGTGATCATCTTTCAGCTAAATATTTTTACCCCACTTCTAACACTGTCGGGAAATCCCAGATAGCACACAGCAGTAAATGGCGTTTATTGTTCCATAAATCCTGAGACTTCAAATAGGAACGCTAAATAGAAAAACAAAACTCTAAAGCAGCGGTTCTCAACCTGTGGGTCGCGACCCCTTTGGGGGATCGAATGACCCTTTCACAGGGGTTGCCTAAGACCATCAGAAAACACATATATAATTACATATTGTTTTTGTGATTAATCACTATGCTTTAATTATGTTCAATTTGTAACAATGAAAATACATCCTGCATATCAGATATTTACATGACGATTCATAACAGTAGCAACATTACAGTTATGAAGTAGCAACGAAAATAATTTTATGGTTGGGGGTCACCACAACATGAGGAACTGTATTAAAGGGTCTCGGCATTAGGAAGGTTGGGAACTACTGCTCTGAAGCAATGAAAAGAGGAGCGCGCCTCTTCTCTCCCTCCGGTGGGCACGGGAAACATTTGGTCGCACAAAGGCAGTTAAGATGACTGAACGGGGAGTGGCTGCTCTGGGGGCTTCTTTGTCTTGAACAGGTTTGAACCCTGCTGTTCTGGGTTCACACATTTTACATCCATCCCTTCGGACAGTTCCTACTGGTTCAGACAATGAAGCTTCATTTCCTTTGTATGTGTATCTGTAGAGATAAAATAAGTATAAAGATCATCCCTTTTTGATAGTTGGGTACATTTCGGTTTGATTTGGGCTTCCGTTGAACATTGGCAAAGAAAGATGGAGGATGCACTCTGCCAGCACAGGGCCCGGCCACCCCAGTCTGTGGAGGCAGACAGGAGCCCCCGAGAGTCTGTTTTCTGGCCTTCAATTCCCTTTTCTCCTGGCCTCACATTTTCTCCACTGATTCTGGGTTGGGAATGAACCGCCATTAAACAAAGCTCCCCCTTTGTCAATGTCCAAATCCTGGGTGGCAGGAAAATTAGTGATATCAAAAATGGGGGCGGACAGTGACTATTATTTCAAAAGGTAATTTAGTTATGTCTATGCAAATTTAAGATGTACATATATGCTTTCTAAAAAAAAAATTTTTTTTTATTGCTTTCAGAGAGCAAGGGAGAGGGAAAGAGATAGAAACATCAATGATGAAGAGAATCACTGATCAGTGGCCTCCTGTATTCCTTCTACTGGGGACTGAGCCTTCAACCTGGGCATGTGACCTGACTGGGTCAACCACTGAGCCACACCAGCCAGGCAAGGTGTACATATATACTTTTAATCCAGCAATCCTGTTGCTACAATTCTACCTACGGCTATTAAACTTTCTCAAGATACGCCAGGGTGTTCACCGTAGCATGTTTGATAACAACAAAACTGGAGAAACCACCAATGTCCATCTGCAAGGCACTGGTTAAATGAATTATGGGACATCCATACTCAGCAGGCATTTTTAAAGCACCAGATAAACATATATGCGCTGATAAGGAAAGATGCCCAGGATATGTTAAGTGAGAAAGCAAGGTGCAAAAAGACACTTGCTTACATCCCTGGAGATAGGGACAATCATTACATGTAAAGAACAACACAGACTCCTACCTAAGTCCTGGTGTCGAAAGAAGAATTCAGAGAGTGAAGTAAGGGAGGTGTTACTGTGAAGGGGGGCTGTCTGGGAGGTCCCATCGAAGAGGCATGAGGAAAGGGGACCTTAAAGAAAGGGGATGGGGCAGAGAGGAGCGCAGACAGGACTCCAAAGCAGACAGGCAGGCCTGGCGGGCGTGCTTGTAGAAAGACTGGGCCGTGCAGAACTCAGAAATGAATCTGGCGTCAAGCAGCCCAAGACTGGCTG